TATAAAATATTATTGAAAACCATTCTATACAGCAGCTGGTGTCTGTGTTTTGCGAGACCTTGGATACATTTACAGCACTACGTAAATGCTTAATAAATAAATAAATAAGTAAAGAATAATAGGCTGAAACATGCATATTGTGTTTAATGTACTAAAATTACTTCTAGTGTTTATCTTCCTTTAGAAGCCACAGCTTCAATAAAATTAAATTGGTTCCCTGTGGCTTGCATGGAAAATGTGCGGCTACTGATCAAGGATAGCTTGTCAATTAAGTTATACATTGTGTATTGCTACTTAGTAAAAATTGTGATAGAAGTTTAAAATGACTTGCATCCTGAGATTTATATTGAAATGCAAATTTTAAGGATAAAAAAGTTACAAATACTTTGTACTTGTATGGTGTCTTAACATAGGCCTCAAAGCATTTTACAATGCAAACAATAATTGATCTACATAGAACTGTAAATAAAGTCTTCACTTTATAGATTGGGAAACTGATACACAGAGACACAAAGTGAGAGCCAGTGAAAACTGAAACCAGCACTCCATATGGAGGAAACACTACCATGTGAGTTCAGTCCCTGCTTAAGGTAATATTTGTTTCCAGTTGTTATCCAAAGGAAGAGCGTCTTCTGTACTTTTACTGGAGGTAGGCAATGGTCTCTTCCAATGCCACTGGAGAGGAAGGGTATCTGGGTTGCATTTTGAGAGAGGTGAGGACAGGAAGCTGAAATGAGAAGGCTTAATACTGCTGTAAGACTACTTCTGTGCTAACAGTAGGTAGAGCTGCTAACTTGAAATTGTTACAACTATAGTCACAGCTTTAAGACAAAAAATACATTAAGATGCCTAAATATGTTTGACCAAAAGCTATAGAAAAAGATCTTTAGCACATTAATATTCAACTGCAAGGCAGACCCTCATAGCACACAAACATTATTAGTGTGTTAGCTGGTTCAGAAATTATATCATATAATTTAGTTGCGCTGAAAGTTGTATATTTCTTACTGCCATCTTCAGATTCCAATAGAAACAAGCTGTAGATAAATTACTACACCAAAATATGTTCAAAGAACTAAGGCCAAGAGTTGAATGGTTTAATCTACTAGGCTTTCTTCTCTAAACATAGGAACTCGAGAACTGATGGCCCATCTCTCACATGTTTGGAATTATCAAGCTAGTCCCAATTTGACAGTTATCTATCTCACTAAAACACCATGTAAATTGTCATGTTCTGAGAGATCTCAGGATTGGAACAGTATGGATGTGGCATGTGAAGACCGATGTACTGGTCAAGCTATGTGGAGAAATGTATACAGCAACTAACTGGAACTAGGCGGAGTATTTAGCAGGTCCCAGAAGACAAGGGGATGAAAAACGTGAACAAGTTACAATGTGCAGAAATTAGAGAAAATGCAGGCAAACAATGTCCACAGTATTAATTTCTTTCCCTCATTTTCTTTTTTTAAAGAAATACTATAAATTAAGAATTACAAACTAGCCATTAAGAACTGAAGTGGATGATGCATTTGCTAATCAGACTGACAAAAAGAATTTAAATATGGAGACATATTCTTTTCCTCCTTTTTTGCACCATTTAAAAATGGGTAGAGTGAGAAAGAAATCTCATTTAAATGTAATATTTGTGTTAATTTTATGAGCACCATGAATTTACAGGGCACGGCCCTTCCAAAAGGCAATACCCCTTGTATCCTACACTTTCTTCCATCATCAGTCCAGTCTTTTTTCTTTAGAGCTTCCTCTATATTTACTTGATATTTTCAGTGTCTGTACAACTGAATCATGTCTTCATTTTCACAAGTGCCATGCCTTTCTATTTATTGCACAAGGCAATTACTCATCCAGGAAGCATACTAGCCAGCTTTCCAAACAATCTATATTCTTCCTTGAACAAAAGTATTGGATCCCAGTCAATACTTGATTTACTGCATAGCTTGTCAAAGCAAAAACATGGGTGCTAATCTCAGCTTGTCGGGTGTCATCTTCTATGCCATTAAAAGAGTGAGCATCAAGACTGCATTATAGTCAGAATCGGATTCAATAAGGTAAGCTTAGCAGCCATTACCCATACTCATTCCATTGTTGAATGGGGGTTGTACAATTTTAGACTGGCGCCTATACAAGACATAGCCCCAAATATTGAGACTGTCCCTCTAAAATCGGGACATCTGGTCACCCTACTTACGTTGTAAATTGCATATTATTTTTGGGATATCAAGTTGGCGGAAACAAACAAAACCTCACTTAATGTCCACCTCTGTTCCTGGTTTTACATGTCTCTGATCCTTGTACTTTGGTGGCCAACACTGAATATCCATGACCAGCAAACAACCTATTTGCTTTTAAATACATCCAAGTGAGCTGTGTTGTAGTGCTCTACCTCCATGATTATTTACCTATTATCCTACTTGATAAAGAGGCCTGAATTGTTTAGCTGTGCAGCACAGCGTGTATTTTGCTGAGTTTCATGCAAACATGCAATATTTCATCCAAACAGAGAGTACCTGTCTACAGATATCTGCAAACTTTTCTTTTCAGACAGTATCAAACAGAGGGGGTCTATAGGTACTTACAACACTTCTCTATTTTAAAATAATGGTTAAAACAGCAGGATATATCTTTAAAAATGATATTTCCGAGTCAACTTCTTTGAACAGATGAAACACAAGTTTTGAGAGACACATTTTTTGTAGCTGTAATAATTACCTTCCTAGCAGAATCTGTGGTACATTTCCATGACAACTAGGGGATGTTAATTAGATAGCTCAGAGTCCCAGAGGGTTCCCACCTGCCGTGGACTAGTTACACACCATAATTTACAGTTGCACTTATATAATTAAAAAGCTTTCTGATAATGTGCTGCTATTACAAATGATACCCCCTCGATCCAGCTCACTATTTAATCCAAACCAGGCCACAGTCTGTAGGAAACAAAGGTTAAGAAAGGAAACACTTTCATAGTTTCTTGTTTTGTTACTGTGTTCAACTCAAGCCTAACAAACCTGGTCATCTTTGATATAAGGTTTCAACCATACAAAGCCAGCATGTTACAGCAGCTCAACAGGTGTGTGAAGAATACGAGTGGGAGTCTGCCTAGAGAGGGAGTGGTTTTATCCAGGACAAAATCTGTTTCCAGAAGGAAACCCTTTCCACACAACCTTACTAGAACACACATGCAGATTTGAGGGGCATCATTTCAAGGTCAGGAATCCCTGATCTATAATGCTAACAAATGAGCACCCAATTCCAAAGGCTGCTGGGTGCCTTGACTGAAACCACATCTTAATGGAGAGTATAGTGCATCCAAGGCATATAAGGAGCACATTAAACTATCCCAGAATCCTCAACATTCACAACAGAATTAAAGACAGGCTAAAAACAGAGATGGTTGTGAAAGAGAATTCCAGACCTCGACCTCTTTAAACTTTGAGGAATTTCAGAACTAAGTTCCATGTCTTTAGCCTACCTGTACTAAAATGGAAGCAAATCAGACCCTAGACTCCACAGATGAATTCTTGTGTCTGCTGGGGTCAGCAGTGCAGCCAATTACTTCATTTTATCATTCATTTATTGTGTGATGTTAGAATTAGATCATATGCTATGTCATATATAATCATTGTAGGCTAAACAGATTTAAATTGTAGGATTATAGAAGTATAAAATTGATAAGTATTTAGAAGTGATAATTATGTATTAGGTATCTAAGTAAGTAGGGCTGAAAAGCAAGGGCTACAGGCTGAGGCCTGTAAGATGTCAGCTTAGCCATAGGCTTAAGAAATGCTTGACATAAGTAAGTGACCAAAGAATGACCCTATGCCACAAAATTATGGGAATAGATGTGCGAATGGGTGGTACTGCAAAAAATTAAGATTAAGATTAATTTTTGATTATAAGATACCAGGTAGTCACATTTTTCTAACACATGCCCTAACTGCAGGGTGCACCATGTGCGTAAATGCTAATAAGAATAAAAGGAACTACAACCTATGAAAAACGAGGTACCCCAATATTCTTGGGAGACAATACAAATAAGGAAAAACAGGGTAGACAGCTTCACGCACATGCACAGAGTGTTAGGTTAGTCAGAATCACAAGATAAAAGAGGGCTCCCAGATTGGATAAAATGAGTTCCGTATAGGAAAACTTCAGCAGGAACCAACCCTGATGATCAATTGACAAGGCATCCATCAGACCCCAAGAATATCATTGAGGATGTGAGTATGACTATATTTGTAACTTGTGCATAGGTCTTTATAGAATTTCTCTATGCATGGGTAATCATAATTTTAATTGTAACTTTAATCAAACTTGTAAATAAGACTAGACCTTGTACTTGTAAATGTATGTGTAGTCACTGTCCTTGGTCTTTATGTTACTAGAGACTCTAAATCTGAAGCAAATAGCAGAGGTGACTTTCACTGTGTTGAACTTGAAACTGTAGCCACCAGAGTCGAACCCACGGTGATGCAATACAAACTTACTAAATTCACTTTAAATAAAATACAAGGCTACAGCAGTGACCCATGTGCGGGAAAGCAGGGGCTCAGATTCCCCATAAAACAAGTGTTAGGGAAGGGTGGCCTCTGCTGCTTCTTCTGACACTTTATTGCCTCTGTGCATATGGGGGAGCTCTTCAGGCCCAATGAAACCCCTGTGCCAGCTGACAGCACAGTTTGGAAGCTGTCAATCATTCTAGTAGTGGGCTAAGGGGAATAAGAGGGCTGCACTATCTCTCCCAACTGTCACATGGCTGGACAGTCCCTGTCCCAGAGATCATACAAAGAAAAATACAAACTTCTTACAATGTCACCCAACCCAGCCTCCCACATCCTCTGTTGGTCATCCAAACAATCAATTCCCCCAAGGAAAAGGTTGAGAGAACAAGTGGGTCTTGTATGCTGAACACCATGGAATTCGGGCTAGGCTGAAAAAGGAAATGAATAAAATATTTGGATTAATTATAGCAGGCTTATACATACTCTTTAGTGAGGATTCCTCGAGGCCCAGTGGGAGTAATACTGCTTGGGTCAAGTCCATGTGTCTCTAGAATGTAGCGGGCAGCAGGACTTAAGCGAATCCTGAAGTTAAAAAAAGAAAACCACCTAAATAATAGGGTTAGGTCAGGGGAGGAAACCTATGGCACATGTGCCGAAGGCAGCACACGAGCTGATTTTCAGTGGCACTCACACTGCCTAGGTCCTGGCCACCAGTCCGGGGGATTCTGCATTTTAATTTAATTTTAAATGAAGCTGCTTAAACATTTTAAAAACCTTATTTACTTTACATACAACAATAGTTTAGTTATATATTATAGACTTATAGAAAGAGACCTTCTAAAAACGTTAAAATGTATTACTGGCACGCAAAACCTTAAATTAGAGTGAATAAATGAAGACTCGGCACACCACCTCTGAAAGATTGCCAACCCCTGGGTTAGGTGAATGAATTTCACACTCAAAATGTCAGAAGGTTCTGGATACCACGTGCTATGGTCCAGAGCCTTAGCTCCAGCTGTGGGGAATGCAGTGCAAGTCAGTGGGTTTCTGTGCAAAAGTAGCATAAAGTTTACCTTTGTACTCCCTTGATCCCAGGGCTGCAATGTGAAGGGTTGGCTCTACTATACCAGAGTATCAGAGCCCTGAGGTTACACTACAGCTACTAGTGACCCCAAGGAGCTGAAACAACAGCTGGGCATCATCCCAACATCTGGGGTCCCAGCCATCTACCTTATGCTACCAGCAAAGAATGGGGTGACATAGAAGCCTCAACACCATTGGAGGATCCCCATATAAACAGGTGATCACCACAGAGCCAGATATATCAGCTGCATAGATCATCTCTTGGCAAGGTAGTATAAAGGAGCCTTGCTGCATCTGAGGAGCTGGCCCTGTATGCTTACTGTCTCACAAGGTATCTCTGCATCTGCGGCTGGCCCTGTGCCAACGGACTCGGGCTCGCAGGGCTTGGACTACAGGCTGTTTAATTGCAGTGTAGACGTCCAGGCTCTGGCAGAAGCACGAGCTCTGGGACCCTACCACCTTGCAAGGTCCTAGAGCCTGGGCTCCAGCCCGAGCCCAGAAGTCTACACCGCAATTAAACAGCCCGTAGCCCGAGCTTGCTGGCACAGGCCAGCCAGAGTTTTAATGGCAGTGTATACATACTTACACAAGCTTGCTCTTCTTTAATAGCAGGTGAAGTAGTGACAATTGCATCATTAGTTCTGTCTAATTTCAATTATAACAATCTTTATACTTAACATCTTCAATTTTTGCTTTTATACTTAAGTTTACTGGACAAACTTCTAGAAGTACAACAGATCATCTGGACTGAGAAATACGGAATTTATGCAGATAATTCTAATCTCATTTTCAGCTTTACAAGTTCAATGCAGTTTCTTCCCACTCTCAAACATCATAAACTTGTATCTGTGTCATCTCAACCCATGCAGGATATGCTTTGCAGTACCTTTCCAGAGACAGAGTTAAGCACATCATCTACAGCACGTAACACTGATTTCCACTGCTATACAGAAACTACAAAGGCTACATCATAACCCAATTCTGCATTTTAATTGAAAGGTATATTGGAGAAAAGTTCCAGAGCATTCATTTTATCTTAAGATAATTTATATGACATAAGAATATAGTGAACTCAGGCAAAACTTTAAAATTCTTAGATACGAAAGTTAATTTAGCAAAAATAACAGAGCAACATTAGTACTTGAGATCAGATTTTATTTCTCCAAATTCTTGAAAGAATGCCTTGAACAGATAAACAGAAGAGCTGGTAGGAGCGGAGCCCTTTGAACAACACAAGAATTCCAAGTGCGGTAATACCAGCTTGACAAGGAATGTAAATCATTAAAGACGTTAATTTGATTTTAAATTAGTTGTCACACATTTGTGATTAGGAGCGTCACTGAATCAGTTTCTGTTCTAACATTCTCAGATGTCAAAGCACTTGATTTAATCCTTGTTAGTGCTCTAATCACTCTTCTACTATAGCAAGCATGCTGTTAGAAGCCTCAGTTAGTGTCTTCCAAAGGTCTTCCCTACTTGCATTAGGACAGCCTGAATGCTAATAGCAAAATTAAACAAACAAATTGGACAGTTAGGCAAGAAGCTAAAAAATTTAATTGAATTGTATAGTGGTCAACACTCATAGAACCATAGAAATTGTAGGACTGGAAGGGACCTCAAGAAGTCATTAAGTCCAGACACCTGCGCTAATCCAGGACCAAATCTACCTACACCATCACTGACAGGTGTTTGCCTAACCTGTTCTTAAAAAACCTCCAATGAAAGGTATTCCACAATCTCCCTTGGAAGCCTATTCCAGATCTTACTTTTTAGGTTAGATATTTTGCCCAATATCTAACCTAAATTTCCCCTTCTGCAGATTACTTCTTGTCCTGCTTTCAGTGGACATGGAGAACAATTGGACTTCTTTGCAACACATTTGAAGACTTATCAGATTCCCACCCACTCTTCTTTCCTCAAGACAAAAAAAAAAAAATGGGCAAGTTCAAACTTTCCTTGGAAGTCAGGATTTTCCTAAACCTTTTTTTTGCCCTCCTGTTGACTCTCTCCAATTTGTCCACATCTTTCCTAAAGCGTGGCACCCAGAATTGGACACAGTACTCCAGATGAGGCCTCACCAGTACCAAGTAGAATGGGACAACTACCTCCTGTGTCTTACATAAGACACTCTTGTTAACACACGACAGAATGATATTAACCCTGTTTATAACGGCCTCAGTTTGTTGGGTCATAGTCCTTTGGTCATCTTGTTCGTTTCAAACAAATTCTCCAATTTGTCAAGGTCATTTTGAAAACTAATCTTCTCCTTTATAGGCTGCTGATACTTAACTCCTGTTTTTGGCAAACTTACTCATAAATTCATAGATTACAAAACCAGAAGGGACCACTGTGATCATCTAGTCCAGCAGTTCTCAAACTATGGGTCCGGACCCCGAAGTGGGTCGAGACCCTGTTTTAATGGGGTCGCCAGAGCTGGTGTTAGAGTTGCTGTGGCCAAAGTCGAAGCCCAAGCGCCACCACCCTGGGCGGTGGGGCTCAGGCTTCAGCTTTAGGGTGACCAGACAGCAAATGTGAAAAATCGGGACGGGGGTGGAGGGGGTAATAGGAGCCTATATAAGAAAAAGACCCAAAAATTGGGACTGTCCCTATAAAATCGGGACATCTGGTCACCCTATTCAGCTTCAACCCTGGGTGGCGGAGCTCAGGTTACAAGTCCCCGACCTGGGACTGAAGCCCTTGGGTTTTGGCTTTAGCCCGCCCGTCCCATCCACCCACCTGGGGCAGCGGGGCTCAGGCTTCGACTTTGGCCCCTTACCACCTGGGGCGACTGGTCTTGGGCAAGCTCAGGCTTCGTTCCCACCTCCTGGGGTCATGTAGTAATTTTTGTTGTCAGAAGGGTGTCATGGTGCAATGAAGTTTGAGAACCCCTGATCTAGTCATTCCTGTTGTATAACACAGGCAATAGAACTTTCCCAAAATAATTCCTAGAGCAGATCTTTTAGAAAAAAAAATCCAATATTGACTGAAAAATTGTCAGTGATGGAGAATCCACCATGATCCTTAGCAGATTGTTCCAGTGGTTAATTATTTTCACTCTTAAAAATGTACATCTTATTTCCAAGCTGAATTTGTCTAGCTTCAACTTCCAGCCACTGGATCATGCTACATTGAAAAGCCCATTATTAAATATTTGTTCCCCATGTAGGTACTGTGATAAAGTCTCCCCTGAACCTTCTCTTTGCTATGCTAAATAAATTGTGCTCCTAGAGTCTATCACTATATGGCATGTTTTCTAATCCCTTAATCATTCTCATGGCTCTTTTCTGAACCCTCTCCAAATTATCATCATCCTTCTTGAATTGTGGATACCAGAACTGAACACAGTATTCCAGCAGTGGTCACACCAGTACCAAATATAGAGGTAAAATAACCTCTCTGCTCTTACTCAAGACTCCCCTATTTACGTATCCAGGGATCACATTAGCCTTTTGGCCATAGCATCACACTGGAAACTCATGTGCAGCTGATTATCTACCATGACTCCACATCTTTTTCAGAATCACTGCTTTTCAGCAGAGTCCCTCATCATGTAAGTATGGCCTACATTCTTTGTTCCTAGATGTAGATTTACATTTAGCCATAATAAAAACATATATTATTTGCTTTTGCCCAGTTTACCAAGTGATCTAGATTGCTTTGTATCCTGTCCTCTTCATTATTTATTCCTCCCCAATTTTTGTGTTATCTGCAAAAAGTGATGAAGATGTTTTGACTGATTATTACCACGGTGTCCTTACAAATTTGCATAAGTTGTAATGAGAGGGCACACTTCCGTTAACACTTTTGAACACTCCACACCTCTCTACTCAGAACCCCTTACATGACACTCTTATTCCAGTATAAGAGTAACTTTTTTCAGTTTAGCTTAAAACTCTTCCTATGTGACATAGGCTAAACTGAAAAAAAGGAACTCTTATACAGAATAAGAGTGTCCACACAGGGAGTTATACTGGTATAACTACCCTGTTTCCCCGAAAATAAGACATCCTCCGAAAATAAGGCCTACTTACAGTTTTGCCTCTCGTTGTAATATAAGGCATCCCCCCGATAATAAGACCTCCCCAATAATAAGACATACACCGATAATAAGGCATTTTTCATTTCTGAAAAATAAGACATCCCCTGAAAATAAGACCTAGCGCATCTTTGGGAGCAAAAATTAATATAAGACACTGTCTTATTTTCGGGGAAACAGGGTATGTTGATTTAAATTCATGTCTTAGGTTATAGAAAACAAAAAAAACAACAAAATCTTCCTTTGTAGACAAGGCCTAAACAAACCAGGCAAATGTAAAGAATCTCTCAAACAATACTTTGATTTTAGCTACGGAGACAAAATTCATCCCTGGTGCAACTCCACTGATTTCACTGAAGTTACAAAAGGGACGAATTTGGCCCCACCTGTAGTGGCAATACCCTCAAGTCTCACACTGAAAGTGTTGTTCATGGGAATACAGAAACTCACGGTAGTTTTCCAAGCCCATGTTCCATTTTGGTAGAGGCTGAAGCTAAAATGCCTACTGGAGGGGTAGTAGGTGCAACTGCAGGCGGTGCCATCGGGGGTGCCAGACAAGATGGATCACCAGTATCAGCTGGTATTTCAACCTGCTTCCAGTCCTGTCCTTCTTCTACCAGCAAACCAATTAGTGTTCCCAGACGCACATTTTTACTTCCTTCTTCCATCTAAATTTAAAAGACAATGAGAACATTACATATAAGTAACACATAGTGCTATCTACTGTTTTTTAAAAAAAAAGATCTAGAAGTTGCAGGCATACCACTGACGTATGAGTACATCAAGTTTTATTCTTATAACTAATAAAAGTCTAGGACCAATATTAAACAGTTGGTACTGGAAATCAGGGTGGGGTGTTAAGTTATGCCAAAACTTTACAGATGTGAGTGCGCCTCAAGTTAAATATCTAAATCCATTGAGTCAGTGGAAGCTGCAGGTGCTCAACACCTCTGAAAAAGAGGCCACTTTCTTTAGATGCCTAAATATAGATTCAGGTGCCTAAATTCAGGCCTCAGATTGGAAAATTTTGGTTTAAGTGTCCAAGACAATTTCTCAGCTTTGGGTAAGTCCATCATGTCTTGCTAACATTTTATTTAGTTTTTTCAGCTTATTTCATAGAATATCAGGGTTGGAAGGGACCTCAGGAGATCACCTAGTCCAACCCCCTGCTCAAAGCAGGACCAATCCCCAGACAGATTTTTGCCCCGATCCCTAGATGGCAGCCTCAAGGATTGAATTCACAACCCTGGGTTTAGCAGGCCAATGCTCAAACCACTGAGCTATCCTCCCCTCCCCCCACCCACCACCAAATTCACGTCCATCAAAAACGCATCACGGACTGTGAAATCTGATCTCCCTCGTGAAATCTCGTGCCTAGCTAGGGGCTCCTCCCCTCTGCAAGCCCCCGGCTGGGGATGGGGAGGGTCAGGACTTCCTCTTCCCTTATAGGGACTGCTCCCAGGACAGATCAGACACCTCCAGGAACTTGCCCTGGTTGCAGAAAGCTCCACAGTTCAAGCTGTCAACCCCCACCCTCTCACACACACACACACGGGGAGGCTACAGCTCAAGCCGTCACCCCATGTGCATGGGCAGGAGACTGCCGGTAACCTCGCCCCCATACCCTGTGACCCTCATTTCTGTGCCGCTGCTGGCAGTGGTGCTGACTTAGAGCTGGGCACTCAGCCAGCAGCCTTCCTCTGTGGGCCCCTGCCAGCAGCAGGACAGAAGTAAGGGTAGCAATCCCACAACCCCACTACAATCACCTTGCAGCCCCCCCACAACAGCTTTTTGGGTTGGGACCCCCACTGTTACGACACCCTGACATTTCAGATGTAAACATCTGAAAATGTGAAACTAATTTTAAAACACCCTGGCCATGCAATTGACCAAAATAAACCAATAATTTGGTAGGGTCCTACCCATCAGAGCCCCTGGAAGCTTGGACAACCAGCAAAAAACAACAGTAAAGAAAACTGGGGGGGGGATGGGGACACCTCAACAGCAACTACAATTCCCCATCATTTATATTTGACAACGTTATTCTTTGCTTCCAATTCTAATGGCTGTTTTAATATTACTGAGGTTGTTGTGTCTGACCTGAAAAGTGACAGCAATTTTGTTGTTAGCAAGTAACCCCTATGAAATGCTCTGGGAACCATGTGAATGGAAATACTAGCAAATATGGTGTAATTAATCTGCTAAAACAGATCAGGTCCAGGGCATATTGCACAGAAAAATGCAAGGACAGACCCTGATCCCCATTATGAGGGATCTGTGCTGCTTGCAAAAGTCAGCTTAACCAGTCAGTGAAGGATTCCTCCATCAATTAGTCTACAGCCATTGTAGCAGCTCCTACACCACCACAGAGATGCCCCGGAAAGCTTCCTATGTCCTGGCAATCCCCAGACATCAGAACTGTACCTTGTGATCACAGGCACCAGGTACAAGTCAGACTAGACAGGTCCCATCCCTCACTGGCCTCAGGATGGTGGTGGGGGTTGTAAACCTCTTCCACAAAACCACTTTTGCCCACCTCCCTACCAATCAGTGTAGGAGCCACAATCTGGAAGCATTTTCCATGCTGATCTGCATTAATCACATTACCTTCCTTTAATTCTTTATTGCATTTTGCATCAAACATTCCATTCTCTAGCTGGGATCGATCTCAGGCTGACAGACCTGTAATTACCCTGATCGCCCCATTCACCCTTTTTAAAATTTGGCACATTAACTTTCCCTCAGACTTTTAGAATATCTCCAGCACTCCAAGGGTACGTCTACACTTACCGGAGGGTCCGGCGGCAGGCAATCGATGTTCTGGGATCGATTTATCGCATCTGGTTTAGACGC